TGTGTGTGTGTTTCAGCAACGCGCACTCAGATCAGTTTGATCGGACATTTGCTTGTCAGTTATAAGTCATCTCTGGTTTTGGGTTTGAATCCCCCGAGTGTAGGATGTGATACTTGAATTATTAAAGGCATTAGTGGTGGCCCTGGATCATATCATAACCTCCGGCCATTCCTTAAAAAATAAAAATAATAAAAAAAATTAAAAAAAATCTCTTAAACCTTTCAAGTCTTCAAGTGGCCGCTATGGGATCTTTGTTAGTGGCCATTAAGAGACTTTTTGGCCTGAAGGAACAATGCGTTTCTTACATCAGCCACAAAGTAAAAGTATTCTTTCCATCGCAGTCTCTTCTCTTTGAAATAAAGCTGCCTATTATTTTTATAAGTGTAACGTACCAGCTGTGATCTTCCTCTTCTGTTGTTTATTTTTTTAAGACATCCACCCCCACCCAATGGCATACAATCATGTGTCATGGCCCAACTTGTGTATTGAGTGTCAAGCACTACATTCATATGCTCATCCACCATTTGTTGTACTACTTATGTGTGATGATTACTATGATATTTATATGATTGCAATAAATTTTTGAAGTATAATCTTATTTTGATTATTGATTTTATTTTAAAAGGTTGATTTTATTTATATGATTATGTGCTCCCTAATTTATCATAAATAATGATCTTCATGGAAAGAGATATAAATATCAACATGATGTCTATTGTATTCATCTACTGAAGGTCATTTGATAGATTGGTTGATGTATTTATCTATCTAACAAATTAAGATAATATCAATATTGATCTGAGGATTCTTAGTCTCAATTAGAGTGTGATCCAAATCATCATTGTCATCGATTTAAACACTCAACATAATGTGTCAATCCAATTATGATAAACATTTGAATTACTTTATATTGTTAGGCTTATCTTCGATATTGAAACCAATTCTTTGATAACAAGATGTATGGTCATGCCATATTATCCTTAAATCTGATAAACCATAATATCCTATAAATCAAAAGTCCACTTAATCTAACATATTCTTAAAAAAATATAAATAAATTGTTGGCAATGCGACACATATTTTTCTTCAACCCTTTAATCCACTTAAATAACAAAATGTCATTTCTCAACTTCCGTAAGTTATTTTAAAAGTATAAAATAATTATATTTTTCACTCCTAAAGAGATTCTATGGACAAACCTCCTTCAAGCTTAGTTGTTGACTTAAACATTAATCAATCATTTTCACAACAAACCCTTCCAAGCCCATTAAAAAAAGTATGACAATGCTTGAAAGAAACTTCTAAATATTTAATTTAATCTCAATTACTATAAAACAATCTTATTATACATAGTTTAGCTATACATTATCTCTTCTACAAAGTATATATCAACAAACTATTTTCAACATAAAATTACTACTTGTTATACTAATTTAAATTTAGATCCACATAGTTCTTGAATACATAACATATTGATTTAAAAAGATTTAAATAGCTATGATATTAATTTCTAATTTGTCATTAATTAATCAAGAGGGCACAACTTGAAAGTGAAACCTTGGCCTCCCCTCCATTAGGCAAAGAAACAACAGAGACAACTCTATAATAATGAGAGCACAACATAATCATTTTTTATTATCCACTTAATCCATAGAGGAACAGCAATAAGAATGGATAAGAACAGCTAAAGCATGGTGGTGGCTTAGAACATAAGCATAAATATTCTATGTTAAAGTCAAAAACAAACTACAACTGATTGATACTCGTATGGTTTTTGAACGTTTACACCCTTCTAAATTAAGATAATGTCATTTGGGTGTGATTAGGGGTGTAAACGAACCGAACACGAACGAACAGAGCTTGTGTTCGTGTTCGATTCGTTTGAATTAAGCTCGTGTTCGAAATTGTTCATGAAGTCACTGTTCGTGTTCGTTTCTTAACGAATGAGCCGAACACGAGTTGTTCGCGAACGACGAGCCAGTTTGACTTCCCTAATATTAATATATATAAATAATATATTATATTAATTATATAACTTATATATTATATATATATATATATATATAATTATTTTAAATGATTTAATATTTCGTACAATAACATGTAAGTGCATATATTCACTAAAAATGGAAGATTTACGAGCACATCACTCAATAATAATGTATTTACATATCTAACACCTAATCTTCAATTTTTATATATATGCCCCCTTACCTATGCATGAAAAGGTGTATTTCACTGTTTAAAAGTTTAAATGGTATTATTTATGTGATATGAAATATTTCGGTGGTATAAATGTAAAAATCAAAGTTTAGCTGTTTTAGCTGTTACATAAGAATTAGGCTCTATATACATAAATGCTCCTATAAAAAAGAAAGTAAATAATAGTTTGGTGATGTTAAAAATTTGTTTTTTATGCATACAAATATAAAAAAGTTCAGATGTTAAATATATAAATACATAAAAAATGTGTGGTATATATGTAAATGACCCGAACTTAAATAATAAGAACAAGATGAAATGGAGCCAAAATACATGAGATGAAGCTGCGGATAATGACAGTGATGGTCTGCTAAATTAAATGGGTTTAATTACGTAATCGACTATTAGCTTTGTGATTATAGTGGAGTTGGCACTAATAGCTACGATACCCACGGAATCAAACACCAGATTTGCATGGAATAAGTTCACCGGTTTTGCAGAATAGCATTTTGCATATTTTGCCGGTGGGGGCCATTCCTGCAAATTTATATTTGATTCTTGGTTCCCTGGTGGATTCCAGCCTAATGGAATCAGCCTAACATTCCCCTCTTTAAGAATAAACATTCAATAATAATAAAAGCATGCCGATGAGCACTGACTAGACATGCAACATATTTTATTTTTGCATATTTGTCAAATAGCATATAACTTCTACTGGTTATATTTTTCTAGTTATGACTCCACCCCTAAAATGTGTCAAAATTACTTCTTTTTGATTGATGAATGTGAGCCCGTGGCCCATTACTTAGCATATTAAACATATAATTGTCTCTGTTCCAGCAAATGATGTTTTCAAGATTAATTAATAAGGTAAGTATAAGTATATATTAGCAAACCTCCTATTTTATAGGAACTCTCATTTAATTTACTCCAAACAAAGATACAAATGAATTGTTATCTAAGAGTCCCTTTGAGGAAGCTACTTTTTTTTTTTCTTTTTTTGTAAATATGATTAAAATTATCATAAGAAAAATGATATTTTTAAAAGCTATTACAAACATTACAAATAGCTTATTAAAAAAATTATACAACAATTTTCTTACAGCTTTCACCACATTTTGGCAGATTCTTGTCCGAACACTCGCCCTGCCCAAAAAAACCACGAAAAAAATAATAGCCAAAATGCAAATGTATTTATGGATTGGAACGCATGGTAGATAAAAAACTGCCCCAAATATACCACAAGTGAACCATCAAACAACAGCAAGAACTATCCCATTTTGTTAAAAGCCATATACCACCATTAAAGCCAGAACGAACATTGAATTGAAAGACGGTTTATGGTTTTGTGGTTCAACAAGGATTAAATTGACGGTTGAACCCGATGATATGATAAATATTTAATTGTTTTATATAATTTAAATAATAAAATGATAATACATTAATATTAAATTTATCGATTCAAAAAATAACATTTTAATTTAAGATGATACTTTTAAATATTTTAAATAATGTGTTAAATAAAAAAAATAAAACTATCATTTTTTTTAATTTAAATATCTTATTTAAAATCATCGGATCAAAATCAACCAGTCAGGTTCACCAGTCCAGCCCCTGTTCTATGCAAAAGCGGTTCTAAGCTTGAACCAAACCGATTGAATGTTATGTAATCGGTCGAGCCAACCGGTCCAATACAGTTTTCGAAAAAATAATAGGAATTTGATAAAATATAAACCCAAACGCATCAAATATACATAAGCTCAAAAAGCCATCACGCCAACTAACCAGAAGAGAAAAGGCATGAGATCAATTCCACAGATGAAGAAGAATTTAGGACATTATCAGAGAAGTGGAACAAATTCCACAGAATCAAAGGCTAACATGTTTTATGCTTACTAACCAAACAAGTTATCTAGAAATAAATTGGCCCACTTCTGCCTAATTAATAGATGCATTAAGAACCGGAATCCACTGCCCTTCACTACAACTGCATCTTGAACAAGGAATAGATTCCCTGGCATTTGCTTCTTGTTTTTTCACAAACAGTTTATGTCACAGAGAGAAATACATGCCAGTTGCCGAAATCACAAATAGTTACAAATCTGAAAGATAAAGTTAAAAAGGAATTCTTGCATTAATATGTGCTTCTGCAGATCAAACGATTAGAAATTTAACAAAAGGATGGGAATTGTAAATTTTAAATACTAATCCACAATGGTATAAGGGGGCTAATTTTGTAAATAGTTGAGATTCTGGTATGGCTGCAATAGGAATTTGTTTAACCTGGCTATGCTATTTTTGTTGCTTTACTAGTATTTTTAGAAAAAAAAAATTGTCATATTCTAACATGGAAGTATAAGTTAATTTACAAATCAGTTATATGCCTCCTAAAATCAAAGAGAAAATATAAAAATGCAAAATGGTAATTTAATCGTTATACACTACTTATAAAATCAAGCAAATCCCAAGCCTTGAAATCGGGAGAAATGATTGAACAAATCATCAACAGGTATACATTTCTTGCCACTCCAAGCGAATTGTGCTGCCTGGCTATCTTTTCTAAACAAAGATTCAAATAACCCCTCAAGAATAGATTATTACCTTTAAGCACTTAGGTTCCTCGAATCAACCATTCCAGTTTTAGCCAAAATTGGTCCAGCACTCAAAAAATAGCACATGGCTACAGAATAATATGCCTTCCTCAAGTAGAAGAGATTCACATTCACATTGCAAAGTATAGCATAAAGGCACCATGGATGTGATGTTAACACAATGTTCACGAACAACAAAATTGAAGAGCATGCCGAAGAATAAAATCACCAAGTTCGAAAGATTTACTCCAATCAAATATGAATGGAATAAATAAAACAGCGGAACAAATATGATTTTCAAAGTCCATGTTTTAACCTGACAAGCTAAACACTCTTACAAAATTTAATCCCTTTGGAAAAGGAAGTACAAATGCTGAATGGACAGACAATTAATGACGATGGAAATATTTATTTTGAATGTTTAATAGAAATATGGACACCATATAATTAGAGACATGCATTGATCAAAGCTTAATCCACCCCTTATTAAGAAATTCTAACAGGAAGACCAATCCACTTTCTAAAAGATTAGCTTGGTCATGAACCTTGAAGATTAGAATTCAATTGAAGCTAATTCCTTTTCCTTTTCTTGTCTTCTTTTTTGTCATGACCATCCACTCCCTCAATAATTCAGTATTTTTTTTTTTTTGGTGCTCTTGGTGCTCTTCATATTAACAGCAAACAGCATAATGTCTCTTTTGGAGAACAACATTTTAGAAGTAATTTGAGCATTTACCACATTTTAGAGCAGAAAATCATTAATCTTCCAAGATAGGTAGTTACAAGAGGGCATTAAAAAAATACTATTGTGGAAGTTTTAGGAAATTCTAGAAATACAACATATATATACATAGGAGGCTTGAAGGTTTAGATGATGGGGTAAGAAACATTATAAAGAGAAGAAAAAAAAGATGCTTTTAAAGAGTGGCAAAAAAGTGATTAAACGTTCATGAAACTTGCAATGATTATAAAGAAACTAGTCATTTACAAAGAAGATGAAGATCAAAGCAAGAGGTATAGAGACTTCAATTAAGTTCGATACATTAATAATGATAATAATAAAACTTTACACAAATATAAGGACAAAAATAATAATATTATCTCTAAAAACTATTAAAAAGAGTCTAAAGGAGGAAGATCACAATGAAGAGACTAATAAAGTATACTATAGATTGATTAAAAATAATAAAGAAAAGTGAGCTATTAGATATACATAAATACAAAATTCTGAGTTCATGTGAGATATGTATCAAGCTTTGTAATATTATGGATAATAATAGAGTAATTTCATATACAAATTTAAAGATAAGAAGATATCAAATAAAAAAAGTAAAATCATTTGATTCCAATCAATCCTAAACATAGAGGGGAATGCTCGAGGCGATGATAGTTATATGAGAATTAAACTCATATGTCATATACTGAAAATATCGCAGATGATACCTGATTTGGACATTATATACAAGGAAGGGGAATAATTAATCTGGCAGTCTGCTTCGTTAAAGTCGATAAGAAAAAGTTTTCATCACAATTTGGAGATTCAATCATTAATAGGTCAGGTAGATTGTGTTCATTGAAGTATAAATGGTTTAATTTCTCTATATAAATTTTCGAAAATAATAATTCTTGTATCAAACCATTGATATCAAAAAGGATACGTTAAGAGTTCATCGGCGAAAATGGATCATCAATCAAAGGTTTAGTAAAGATCAGCAGGTAAAAATGTGGGCAGTTGGATCAAAATAAGTTTTTAAAAAAGTATAAAATGAATAGAGGAGATTTCCTCAATTGAATAGAAATGTGGGATTCAAATTGAAAAGAAGCATAGGATTCAAATTAAAAACACAATAAAGTTAAAAAAAAATTATGAAAGTTTAAATAACTTATAAAATTTATCAAAAAAACATGACATTATTTTACAAAAAACACAAAATAAAAAATAACTTGAATGATAGAATAAGAGTTTCAAGATTAAAAAAAATAGTAACCTAGAATAGAACTAGATTCTAAATGAAGTATTTTAAAGTCCTATGTCAAATATTTTAAGCCCAAAAAATTCACATCATCATCATCATCATCACTAGCAGGATTGTTTAAAAAATCAACTTGATATCAAATAACTCTATCACCGTCCCCATCACCCTCATGTGATTCACTTAATTCTTCTTCTTTCTCATCTAGCACTATTGATGACTTCTTTCCTGCATCAAAATTATCATAATAAATACACTCAAAAGAAGAAACATTAATTAATATATATAATATATTTAATACAGTTCCACATTCTTATGAATTTGAACAAGGTGCTCCTTTAGTCTTATAGCACCTATGACAATTTTTTTGCTATATGTGAGATGCATAGAGCCTTTATCTGGCTTCTCAACATTTAATCCAACCTGATTCTATATTTCCAAGCAATATATTTTTTCTCCTAACACCAACTTTTATCATTGTAGTAGAAGTCTTACAAACCTGGTGAAGATTTAAAAAAATTGTTTCTAGTTATTCATATTCTACAACATTATATTGATTAAAAAGACAAACAAAACCGCTAATTTGTAAGAATAAAATTGATTCCAAAAACCAGGAAAAAGAAAGGAATTTGAAAAGAAAAAAGGTTAGCTGAAGCCTATGACTATAAATAAAATTAATTCTTGTAAAGAAGAATGGCTTCTCAACATCTAATCCAACCTGATTCTATATTTCCAAGCAATATATTTTTTCTCCTAACACCAACTTTTATCATTGTAGTAGAAGTCTTACAAGCCTGGTGAAGATTAAAAACAAATGTTTCTAGTTATCCATATTCTACAACATAATATTGATTAAAAAGACAAACAAAACCGCTAATTTGTAAGAATAAAATTGATTCCAAAAACCACAAAAAAGAAAGGAATTTTAAGAGAAAAAAGGTTAGCTGAAGCCTATGACCATGAATAAAATTAATTCTTGTAAAGAAGAATAAAGGCTAACAAGAAATAAAGGAAAATAAGGAGTTTTTGCAATATTGAAATGAAAAAAAATTTGAGAAGAGAGAAAATGGAAAAGATAAAAGGAAAAAAAAATGTAAGGACTAAAGGACTGATCTCAATAAGAATTGAACTGGTGACTGGCTGCAGAAGGATGCACTCGTGAGTGTGGCTAACAGCAAACACTCTCAAGATGAAGAAATTATGTTTTTTTTTTTTTTATCGTGCTTTTTATTGATTTTTATTCGGCAAAAAAATTTATTATTTCAAAGCCCAAAGTTCAATAGCCTAAATATTTCTATTAAAAACCAAATTAAAATATTTTTAAAACCCCATAACAAAATCAAATAGACCATGTAAACATATGCAATTTGAAACCCATGCTGTAGAGGATTTCGAGATGTTAAGATTCAAAACCCCCGCCTCCATCAATGAGATGTGGGCTTTAAGAGAACAAAGAAAAATGCATACTTTAAATCTTTTCCTAACGGCTCAAAAGGAAACGAGTTTCGAGGCGTAGGTTTCAAAAAAAAATTTAAACCACGGAAAAAAAAAAATTGAAGTAGGATAACAATGAATTTTTAATCATTTAGACTTTTTTTTATTCTAGATTAAATATCCTGAAACTAAAACTTACATAAATTGATATTATAGATACACTGCTTACATTATGAAGTGTGTTTATGAATTCATGTCCACCAATTGTGGAGTCAACTAAAGACGGATAAAGTTTGTTTTTACATAAATTTTGCCTACAACTAAGCTTAGAGTCTTAGAATAAAATTCAATCAACATATCCCAAAATCCTTTCATATATTCTCTCTATTCACTTTGTTTTCCATGCATCACCAGGTCCTGTAGCATAATATTGAATGTAGCAGGTTCTCGCCACAAGAACAAAATTGTTTTTACAGTGTTTAATTCTATAGGATAGCCCTGATATTATACTGCACTTGTTGTCCACAGATTATAGCATGAAAATAAAAAATCATAGCATTGATGTTCCTTATTGTCTGCATATCAATAACATTAAGTTGGTTGCTATCCCAGCAAGAAATAAATCTAAAAATAGTGAACTTAACTGTTGGCTTTTTACTCACGGGCCCACGGCGCTTGTCAAGAGAGTTGTAGTATATGTGGCAATGTAAAATTATTGTATCGGTTGAGTGGAGGTGTGGAATGAAATGGAAGTGGGAGGCGACAAGGATCCAGATAGCTTAGTTTGTTTTTAACTTTTTGATTTTCGGTGGGTTACTATAGGCACGCTTTACTTGTGGTGGGTGCGCTTTACTAGTGTTGGGTGCGAAGGTGTTAATGGTTGGGTGTTTAATATGGTTTTTAATATGTCTTAATTGATTTTGATTCCGCCCACATATGAAAAGGAGAAGGGTGTGCGATGATGCAGAGTGGATTTCGGTGATAGAATTATGTGGCATCTTTTTGGCATTGTTTCTTATTTTTTAAATGATTTATTATCTTATAATATTAAAGTATTTTTTGGAAAAATAAGTTTGTGATATGCTCTTCCACAGAATGATCTATTTCTAAATGTATAATTCTTTTTTGATACTTGCTCTTTGCCTTAATGTTTTATTATTTATTTATATTTTTTGTACATTAATTTGTAAATTAAAATTTAGTTATTAAAACGCATTTTTTTTGCAATATTATGTTATTTATATAATTATAATACTATTTTCATTAATTTTTCTTAATTTGATGAGATGAATTATAAGAAAAAAAAAATCGCCCACTCTAAAAATAGAGGTTGGTTCTAGTCCTGGCCCTTACAAAGAAAGATGTAAAAGTAGATAAAAAAACGTCATTTGCAGTAAAATGATGCTTGAGGTACCTATAAATCTTAAAATACTTTATTTTAACCGCTCTATATATAATAATGTTGAGGGTAGTTACAAATTAATTTATACACAAAAATTACATTGATATAGAAGAATCAATCTGATTTTATTCTCAAAAGACCCACCATGGATGAAATTTTTTAGCCAATGAAAATAATGGAAACCTATAAAGCACCAAAAAATGATTTTCATATGATTTTTATTGATCATGAGAATGTATATGATTGATTACTATGACAATTAATTTTATCTGCATTAAAAAAAAATATGCATGTCATCTCTATGCTGAAATTAGTAAAATACATGTACGATGAAACCTTTAGTACTAATAGTAGTTGTTCTACAGTGACAGCGTTCTCAATAAGGATAATTTTATCAAAATTCTATCTTAATTATTTGTTGTATTGACATGTATCATTTGATAATGGTTATTAAGAAATATACAAGAATTATTTAAATATAGATATCCTGGTGTATACACTTATGTATATTACATTATTTTAATCAGTAAGATTTTCAAAAAAAATAATAAACGAATAGTTAGAATAGTTGAGAAGATGTTTTGAAGATATTAGAATTAAAAAATCAAAGCATTGAACATTAAATATACAAGTTTGGTCATTGTTCTACAAACTAATACGTGATTTACTAACAAATCAAGTGATTAAGTATTTTTCATCTATTAAATAAAAGAATGGGTATATAGAATAAGGTTATGAGATTATAATAAGAAAGTTCTTTAAGAGTAATAAATAATAACATAACATCTTGGATATTAAAGAAAAAAATTTATAAAATTGCAATTAAATTAGTTTTGTATTGTGGAATTGAGTGCTTACCAGAAAATAAGTTGTCTGCAAACAAGTTGCGTGTGTGCCAAAAATGAAATTATTGATACAAAAGTGCAGCACAATCAAGAGGGATTGATTAAGAGAACATTCTTCCAGAGGAAACGGTGGGAGTAACATTTATAGAAGATAAGAAATGAAAAGTGACTTTAGTGGTCTTGGCATGCACAACACAGGATTGAAGATGCACTAATAAGATGCATACTCAACAAAGTTTGGAAATAAGAATAAAAAAAGGATTAAATCAAATGAAACCTTAGATAGAAATTAAGCAAAAAGACTTGTCTCATCCAAAAAACTCAACAAAGATGAATATGAATTTGAAGTCGGACAAAGCTACAACTCATATAAAGAGCATGAATATTGATTGAAAAATAAAGATATATCATAACATTTTTTTAGATTCTTTCAACTAAAACAATCATTACTAAAATGTTCTTGTTAACTCATTATGCTAATAGCTTAAAAGTGGTATAGAGTTCAAGAATTTGATCCGTGGAAACAGCACCTTTGCATTGCAGAGGTAACATTAGTTAGTATTTAGTAAATTACCAGCAATTTATAAAGTCTAAAAGGCATTCAAATATAAGTATTTTGAATGTCACGTGTGAAATGAGTGAAAAGGAAGATGTTGTTTGGTTCAATGTTATGTAGACAATCAAGTAATCTACATAATATCGCAAACTATCAAATGCGATTTATTTGGTGTATTTGGTCCAAAATATTATCTCACTTGAACAACGTGAAGTTATCTAAAAGATTAACTATGATTATGATCTTTTTAAATCGTCATTTATTTTAGTCATCAAAGAGCCTAACATCTAGATGTCCTTAGATTTTGACATGATCATCAAAATGAGATCTAAAATTCATTAATAAAATGGTGATTTAGCGGTGTCAGTGAATCAAACAGCTGCCATCCGATATTAATAACAAAAGGGATTCCAGTAGAATGAAAACAGTTTACACACGGCACAAATAACCAAAGCAATAAAAACATCATCACAACCGCGGGAAAAAAAAAACACAAATTTCTCACAAAAATCCCAACATTCAACTTTTTTGATTCATTAAGACAAGCTCATAAAGCGAAAAAGAGGAACAAACCACACTCTAGGGTTTCGCAGCCGAAGAAGAGTTGGAGGTCTGGGATTGGGAAGCAGATGAGGAGAGCTCACGAATGAGGGCGGAGAGAGGCTCGGGGTTGATTCCACGGTCTAGAAGAGCGATGATAAGCGAGAGAGTGTGGCGATCGAGCCCACAATCAAGCACATTTGATATCTGAAAAGCAAGATCCAGCGTGTCATTAGGGTTTTGACCACCTGCTGACTTCATTAAGACGTTCGCCGCCTTCTGCAATTGGAAGTTGCTCTCCGGCGATTGATGCTCGGCGGAGAGGCAACGGAGAGACGGCGGAGAAGATTGAGGATTGAAAGACCAGACTACGAAATTCAGCTTAAAAAGTAAGTCTGGTGAATTACTTTTATTTTGTATAGCTTATTGATTGATAACTGATGAGAAATTGAAAAAAAAAAGAATGCAGGAAGATGATTGTTTTATAAATATTTGCCCCAAAAAAAGTGTCAGGTTTTATGGAGTTTGAATGAGATTCGATTACACCAAAGATCTGGGGATGGCTTCTCACTCCTACAGTCTTCGACCAATATTGACCATCACTTGTCAGTCGTCGTTGACCACCATCGACTGCGCCTAGCTTGCAGTGAAATCCTGTGCAGAATCAGACTTATGCGGAAAAGTAACAAAACATTGTACGATGTAACAACCAACATCACAAAGCAACGGAGCATCCTAAGGTGTAGCGCATCGTCCTGAGCATGGTGCAATAACACGCCTCAAAGATGATATACTGATGGGGTTCTGATAATTACTCCCAACTGCAACTTCTTCCGACCGATGCGCAACGATAACTTCAGCATATGAATATTGTACTTCAAAGAAGTGTGTGAATATTTTCCCCCATGTGAGACAAGAGTTTGAACGTTTAATCATCAACTCATAATGAATTATTTCAACTGTACAAGACCAAGTGTTTTTTTCCCGTTCAGTTTTTCAATATAAAAAATTATGTTGTCTCTATCTATTGTTTATATTATCTAATTGTGTGATGAATTTTCGTGCAATGATAAGACGTTAATTAATCACTCAGCCATAACAAATCTTTCAGCCCAAGCTCAAATGATTAGCTTGTGTAGGAACCAAAGGCTCGTAAGATTTAATGAAATTCTCACGTTAGCTCAGTGGATAAACCATCTAATTGATTGATGACTGATGAGAAGAATACATTCATTGTCACTCACCAGAGAAGGCATTAACATAACCAAAATATGGCTAGTCAAGCTAGCTTGAGAGTAAACAAGTTGGGCCTCGATAAGATTGAGCTCAAGATCTTTTACTAAAATCTATTGAGTTTGAGCTTGAGCACATGGTCTTCAACTCATAATCTCGTGCTCTCCGACAAGCCTAAGCACTAGTTTTATGATTTAAGAGTATTACAATGTGGCCAATAATAACAATGATGTATTAGGATTTATTGAGGGTGATTAGGGATTTTTTTTCTTTTTTATTTTTAAAAATATACTAACATATTTTGAATATACTTTAAATCAAATAGTCTTTTTTTATTATTATTGTTTTATGTCAGAGCATGAATAAAATAAGATAAAAAATAAAACATAAATATGATTCCAAATCGTAGCTAAACCTTTGTTTGGAATTATTTGAAAATATTTTTGGTTAATGATAATTTCAAGATATTTAAATTTTTTAAAGATAAATATTATCATCATTTCTACCACCACTCATATATATATATATATATATATATGTATATAATAAAATAAAATAAAAATCAAATAATTGAAAAGCTTCAGAACAAAAAATAAATTAGTAAAGCATTCTATTTTCTAATTTGAGTTGCACGTGCCAAGCTGCAGCAAAAGATAAAAAGTAAGAGATTCGCTAGAGGGAGGGCTTGAACCTCCGACCTTGTGGTTAACAGCCACACGCTCTAACCAACTGAGCTACTCCAGCTTATACATTCAGGTTTACTAAGTATATTTATATATATTAAATAGTAAATACATTTCATAATATTTTACCTATCAAAATGATATGCACTACAAATGAATATAGAAATTAATTTAAAAGCACATACAACATTGAAATGTATTATTTATATCTTATATTATGACGGTTTATTAATCTTTTTGTTAAATAAAGTTTTACAGGATTCAGAATGTTATAATGAATGAGTTGGAAATGAGTAAATGAAAACAAAAATTAAACCAAATATTTTGATTAAATAAGCCGGTTGGAGCCTAAAAGCTCTAATATGTTTAAAGCTCGGTGAAGTTATGCTTATCTATACATTACACTTATCTTAAAATATATCTCAAAGTTTAGAGATCTATTACATGAATCATCAAATATTTATAATCGGGCATGAGTATCGAGACATTTAGAACAAGAAATTCAAATTCAAGATTATATGTGCCCCAATTTTAGAGAGTTTAAAATAAAGTTGAGTGTCTCGAAAAGACGAATCCAATGAGACTGATAGTAATGCAATTTAATTCTAAATGAGTGCTCAGATTAAACACTTAAAATATAATAAAAAATTTTGATGCATCAATTGAAAGATTAGAAAATATTTAAATTTGACTTGCCTATAGCCAAATTGAGCAGTTCAAAGATCATCTAATTCTGAGGTCATTTAGGCACTTAAATGTTGAAAAAAAAATACCTTTAATTAAGATTCAAGGTGAACCATTCAATAGAGTGTTTTGAGATCCTGACTTTGTTTACCAAAACGACCTCCTAAAAAACTATAAATAAACCTCTATTTGTCACTTGAAGGGCGAAGAGGAGAAGAGAAAAATGAGTTGACTTCTAAAGCTAAATTCTTGAAATCTTGGCAGTTGTCGATGATCCAACTTATGCAGTCAATTATGACTTCTATAACCAACTACGATTGTTATAGTCTCCAATTATAGCTTTTGTGATCAGTTACCGTTGTTATCGCCGTCAACTACAACTTATATAACCTATTTTGACTGCTGCAACTATTAAGTAAATGAAACCGAAAGAAACGATATCAAGAATTCTAGTATTTATGTTATAATACCCCTGGTTGCTTTATCTCTTGTAGTTTATTTTTTTTCCTACAAATAGGAATGGTTGTTATATAGCGAGCATGTCAATGGAACATATTATTTTTCAATCTACATTTATCTATTCTTTTTTCTTTCTACTTTAGATAATCATAATTGATAGAATTCTTAATTTTATCATGGTATCAGAGCACTAAAAGTGATTAAGAATTCAAAGATCCTTCAAAAAAGAAGTATTTGCCGTGTTTTCTAGTAAAATTTAAAGATTAACTTGACAATCTTCCCCATCCTCATCAATCATCATTAGTTTCTTTCCAATTCCTCTACGAATGTAGCAATGCCAACTCCTACTATGGCGCTTTCAAATAATAATTACATCCCAAATCAGTTATAGTTTTTCATGGCAAACATCAAAGGTATTATCATGCACCTCTTACAGCTGAAAATCATCATACCTGGAAAGCTCAAATAATCAAGCTATTTCGTGCCAACGAATTTGATGGCTTTCTCGATGGATTTTGTTTTTTTTTCCAAATCCATACATTCTTAATTCCATGAGCATTGAATATTTGAATCTAGATCATGCCAGATGCATCTTGATTGATCATAATCTTGTTATTGCATCATATTATGATATATATCTCTCTATTCTTCCTCACATACTAAATCTTGAATCATGCTTTGAAGTATGGTGTGTAATTAAACGCAAACTTCAGTCTTGAAATAGGCCTCACACTCTTCAATTGAAGAATGTATTGCATAATATGTCCAAGGGAGACAAAACAAGGCAACAATACTTATATTATAACAAATTTAAGTTGATACACTTGTTGTCACTGGTGTTATATTTGAATTAATCTTGTATGCTGTCTTGTATGTTATTAATGGATTACATTCAAGTTGTCATGTTTTCAAGGCTTCCTTAAGAATTAATCTAAAACAAATTGGACTTGATGATTTATGTACATTACTATGCATATAACAGATTAATTTGGCTAGTGAGGCTTCAAGGAGACACAATAATCTCTCAACACATATGTAATAGCTAATACACGGCATGGGAAATTCAAGAACGACAACTACAATTCTACATATTATAGGAATCAACCAAATTTTGGATCAAATAATTTATAGATATCATGTTTCCTAACAATAATTGTGAGCTAAAGAAAGCAATATATGACCTGAAACAAACGCCTAAGCTATGATATAATACAGTCACTGATTATCTTCAGCAACTACAATTTCAACCTAACACATGAGATCCATTATTATTCTGCTACTTACAAAAACAACATACAAATCTGCACATTAATCTATGAAGATGACATATTGATAATAAGAAACAATGCTAAACAGCTTCATGAACTCATAAAAAATTTACAACAACAATTTCAAACTAAAAAAAATTGGGTACAATTGGCATATATGTCACACAAACCACTTCAAGCTTACACTTAAGTCAAAGCAACAAATGCTAAAAATATCTTAACTACTTCAAGAATGTTGGATCAGAAATGTGTTAGCAATCCCATAGCTCAAAAGCATTCTCTCATGAATATTGATTAACAACCATTTCGAGATCCTTCACTCTGTCATAACTATATTATCTAACGATCACTCTAGATTTAACTTATGCACTTAATCCAGTAAGCTAGTTGTCACGATTCGACTTGATATAACTCATACATAGTAATAGATTATATCATGTCGAGTGCGCAACAAATTAATTAGCCCAATATATATTTTGAAGTAATTTCTTTTGATCTTCTATTTTCATTACACTAGGCCACTAAGTCATCAAAAATAGTATAAAAATAAAGGAAATGATCATAATCATCACATTTTTCTTATATACATCAAAACTATTTACATCCAAAATATTTATATACATTCATCAAGATTGTCTAATAATCTCAACAAAATATACAGAAATATCATGATCACAAAAAACATATATAAAATATAAATTTATCAGCAATTACTAACAGTTCACTCCACTGGATCCTTACCCATCCCTGAAAATATGTAAAAGCAACCAGAGTAAGCAAACAACTTAGTAAGTTACACGTAACCTATAACTAAAATCAATTCACGGAAATAGAATAATATGCATGATTGCATCATAATCCTATCATGCTAAACAAGTAAGCATGTAAGTCACTGAATATATATATATATATATATATATATATATAAAATATGTACATACAATATGATATCAAATCAAAACAGTAGCAATGTATAAAATGCATATAATCAAACACAAATATCATTCATATATATTATACAAGTTAAGTGATCTAGTTAATCATATGTGATGTTTTTCCTGTACCAATTATGGTGAAACATGTATAGTATCATAATATATCATAACAATAAAAATTAACAGAACAATCAATCTTGTGGCATAGCACACAAAAGTCGTGACATCCAGCCCGTCGACACTCATATCATATCATATTCATCATTTATAACCTCCAACATGTATCGAGTGTACAACACTAACCCATTTAAAGTAAAACTATTCGGCCCACCCATGTGCACAGGGTATCATATCTACGCTAATTTGAATCATTATAGTCATTTTTTCTTGCATGCACATATTTCACAATATCATAACATTTCAAACAGTTATATTATACTCAACATCACAATGTATACATAAAGGATGCATGTAAAATAAAATAGAGAGATCCGCAATATGCAATAATATGACCAAACTAGATGCACCAATCAAAATAGAAATTTGCATATTAAACATGTATGTAATCATCTTTGTGTCAGTATTTAATAATATATTTAATTTTAATTATATTTTTATGAAATTCTATATAACTCAAATTAGGATTTTTACCTCAAACAAAAGAAATATCCAGTGAAAATTCAATATGCAAATGTCAAAATGTGCAGAATAGCTAGAGCAATAACCTATTAAAAGTTATATAGTGAAAGTTTCCAAAATATGAAGATATTTTCTAACTGTCTCTTAATATGAAAGTTGAGATGTGACCTCAATAAACGTGCTTCTGTTTCTCACTCGTTCACTTTCTCCCTTATTTTCTTTCCTTCTTTTCAAGGTCTGGGAAAAGTAAAATGCATGGGAAGATTATGGAGAAATGTATGTTCATGGATTTTATATTAAAAAAAGTGTCAAAGACATGCGTAATTATCCAATTTGTTTGGCTTCAATTGCAAAGTTTATATTGCTCAGAACTATAAAAATTATGTAAAAAGTATTCATAAGATAAATTATCACGTCTAGGATATTCTTGTGAAAACGGTTTGAAAGTAAATGTCAAATGATTCTAAAAATAAATATATGTCCACACATGTACATTTCTTAAGAAATTGTAATTGTACAATTAAACTTATATTTTTATATTTATAATTATCATAAAAATATGAAAAAATTATAGTAATTAATATTCATTATTTTCAATATTTTAGTGAAGACAATCTGTAAATGGAGTTTATAACAAGTCATAAAAATTATTCAAATTTTATAAGTCAAATCTAACTTTATATATATATTCAAGTATTTATTAATTATTTATTAATCAAATATTTTGAAATGACTTAAAGTACAAATAACATAAAAATTCATCTCAGTGGACATATTGAAGCATCTATGAATAAAGTACAAGCATGAATATTGTGATTGATTTTCATATATAGAAGTTGTGAGTATTACACAAGTCTATGCATAATACAACCCCGAACAGCTTCCAGCTACTGAAAAGATTTTTACAATACATAAAAGGCACCAATATTATGGGTCTACCTATAAGAAGAAGACCTCCAAAATTAACAGCCTATACAAATTCGAATTGGGCGAGTGATTCAATAGATCAGAAGTCCACTTTTGGATAGTGTATTTCTAAGAACCACTCTAATTTCTTAAGAGCATCCACTCTTCCATTGAAGCTGAATATAGACATTGGATACGGTGGCAACAAAAATTGTTTCGCTTAGGTGTCTACTACAAGACTTCAAAGTATCTGTAGTAGAACAATGGTTTATTATGATAATACATCAACGATAGCTTTGGCAACAAAAATTGTTTCGCTTTTGTACCCTACACAAAAATCAAACATATTGAGATCGATTACCTTTATATATGAGTAACAAAAACAACTTCAACATTGTACTTGTACGTCAAATATATCCAGTCTATTGTAGTCTATATGTTTCCTATAAATAGAAATAGTTGTACTACGCGTATATTTAAATGCAACATATTAATTTTGCATTTACATTTCTCTATTTTGTTCGCGTTCATTCTACTTCTGATAATGAAAAATGACGGGATAATGAATTCTACCAGTAGCCACTAACTACAACTTCTACAACCAACTACAATTTGTACAGCCAACAACAACAGTAAAAACCAACTACTTATATAGCCAACTATAACTTTATAGCCAGCTTTTATTATTGTAACCATCAATTGCGATTCTTGCAACTCAATTTTTACTTTTATAACCAAACTACTTTTACAAATCAATGATCGCCAATTTTTATAGCTCATCTTCTTTGATTTATAAGAAAAGCGAACATATATCCTCTTAATTCTATAATGAATTACTTAAACTAGGACAAAGCCTAATATTTTTTTTTCCCTCATACCAATTCTTAGCTGGAATTCCTACCTTTTAGGTGCTGCAAAATAATACACATAAAATTTCGTTGTTTTTTATTATTTTTTTAATGCCTCATCTTCCTTAATTTTATAATTAATTACATTAACCAGGTCAAGCCCTGCCTCTTTTTTTTTTTTTTTTTTTTTTTGCCCCAACTATTCTCAGCTGGAATCCCATCTTTTATGCGCTGGAAAATTATACAGAGCTCTTTTATTAATTTTTTTTTAATGGTGGGGTAGAGAGAATTGAAAATATAAAAAGGATGGCATTGAATGAGGCCAGCCATCTTAGGGTGCGTTTGGGGCAATTTATGTGTTTCAGAATAAACAATTTATCCTAAAACGTGGCCCACGGGTCGGCTGCAGGGTTCGACCCGTGGTCTGTGTTTAGTGTACAAATAGAACCACATTTTCGGATAAACGGACAAAACGCACGATCCAAACGGTACCGCAATGTTTTCAAAAACACCCCCACTCTTATAAGCTGCCACAAACGGGCCCTAAAGCTTCGACGGGAAGCCTTTTCCTCACAGCAAATCAAAAATATATAGTTTTTCAAATATTTCATATTTAAAAAAATAAATATATAAAAAATATTTTATTCAAAATAAAAAAAAAACAAATCCAAAAAAAGAACGCCTAGTAACCCCTTAGTGAATGAATTCCACTACATCTACTGATGAAGCAAATTATCATACAAGGCACATTGATCCATAAAAATACATGGTAAACAAAAAAGGATCATAATATACTCTATGCTCTACAACACATCTTTTTAATTTTTTTTTTTTTTCATTGAGAAGAATATAGAAGCCTTCTCACATAGATTATGAACTAGCGAATAACAGTTACAATTACCCTGAAATCATGAGTGACTGATAAGGCACTCTCTTTATGTCAACTATCGTTGAGTATTCACCATCGAGAGGCTGCTTCCATGGCTCTCCGTCCATCTGCATGTACGCTCTTCTCCATTCACCGCCTCTGACTTCCAGCCTGATTGCAGCAGCCTGAAAGTTAACCAATAGAGCAAACTGTATCAGCTTCCATATCTCATATGAACCAGAAAATATTATGTCCGGTGTGGATTATGACAAGTTCATTCTTTTAGGCAATTTACAAAAAGATACATCACAACCAACAAAATGAATGATGGATATTAAGTATTATATCGACTATGACAATAGAGCACGGGTAATAAGAATTCGTCACAATTAAAAACTTAACATTGAAGTAATAACTGTCAACATAAAACGAAAATAAAAAAAAAGTACTACTTAAAAGTGGAAAATGGGAGATGAGGAGTGTGAAATACTCATAGCCAAACAGAGCTGAATTTCATGAACGTTCAGCTTATATTAGAGACTTTGGAAGTATGTTAAAGTAAAATTTTAAGTACCTGAGCTATGTGCTTTGCAGTTATAAGCTCAACCATCACGACTGAAGCATGCCAACCTTCCTTGAGGCCAAAGATTTCAAGCAAGCCATCATCCAAATGGGCCTCAACAAAACCTCTCTGTGAAGCAGAATGATAATATAAGCAAAGAATAACAAATCCACTTTGTCAACTGATATTAACAGCTAATAGAACAATGCGGGTCTTTTTTAAAACTTCTATGAATTGCTAGAACGGCTACACGGGAGGAAAAGATATGAAACATGCATATGCTCAAGGGATTCACAAACATGGCGTGCCTTCTACCATCCGAACATGTTGTCAAATACAAGGCAATCAATTTCACATTAATCACTTCTGTATATTTGGCATGGCCTCTTGAGTAATGTTGAAATAAACTTCTGATGAAATTTATTATTAAATGCAAATATAATTGCAAGGCATATCACAGGCAGTAGTATTGATATCAAAAAACAAAATAATAATCCTTTTACAGACCAAATGCAACGGTATATGTAGATTTGCTGTACCTTCTCAAGATATTCAGGATTGGGATGGCCCCAAGGATTCCGTCCACTTCCGTAGTTGTGAAGATTTAAACAAACTATCGACCTAACACTGCAACCAAAAACCAATTATGACAATACATAAACTCAAAAGAAATACACCAGTTTGGAATAATTGGCAAACCAAAGACATTTGTCTCTAGAGCTAATCATTTTTTACTGGAATAAAAAAAAATTAAAAAAAAAAGAAATAGATTGCTAAAGAAATTGTATAACAATAACATAAAGCAAGCAACGTTATCCATCCAAATTCAGATTTTAAATGAAGTAGAAATCTTACCTTCTGGGAACTTCAATTGGCTCCCATTCTGAACAATTTACCTTTTTTACAAAAATGCGTAGTATATTCCTCAGTCCCCTGAATAAATAGGTCCAAAATTGTCATCAATCAGTAAATTTAAACAGCTACACATATTAGGCACGCATAAAGACAGGCCAGCAGAAAACTAAAGGACATAAAAAAATATAGTTCCTATAATAGACCAAATGTATCAGATCTTCAGTTAATATTTGAAGAATCAAATGTTTGGTTTTCTGTTTTGGGTTCTCATAAATATGAGCTGAATGCCAGAAACATAGCCTTAATTTAATTTGAGGAAAGAAATTATTTTGGATGAGAATTAAACTTTATCCCATTCTCATTTTTGGCATAGGTCTGAAAAAAACCCATTAAAAACATGATAAATCATTCATTTTATTTTCAATCTACACCATAATGTGTTCAAGTAAGTAAACTAAACATAGTGAATAGAAAAAAATTTAGCGTCAGAAACAAATGTGGAACTTTTGCCTATATTCTATTTCATTAATCCACTTTGACAAACAACACCCAGACAATAATGAACCAAACCCCGGCAATATGTTCCAACTTTCAAGCAAACCATATAAATACTCCAAATGTAATTAATGTTCAATTGATGCGGCATATAAACAGCACAAATTGCAATAAAATGAATCGAAGGATAACAAAATTACTGGCACAAGTGCTGCCATTTTAATGCATCAAACCGCTAACCTTAGGCTAGGATCAGTTGTGCAGGGTGTAAAGAACCATCCTTGAGAGCAGCTATATCCACCGTAGATTAGCTGGAACGAAGAACATGAAATCAATTAAATAATATGAAAGTAACTATTTTCACTTTCTTATGTATAAATGAGGAAAAAAGTAAAGCTAGGATGCAAGTAGTAAAGTACACTTGCGCTAAATGACACTACAATACTAGCTTAAAGCTGAACGGGTACACCACCTGAACAAGTAAAATTTTGTAATAACTGCCATGACATTTCTGGACGGATTCTAGATTAATAGTATAATAGAAATTTCATCAAAAGGAGATCACTAGAGAATCTCCACAATCATGCCTTTCCTGGCTTCCGGGTTTTAGGTTTAAGAAGATTTTCAAAATCCATCCCTCATGAGGGCATTTGTAACTTGTCTCACCGCAACCAAAGTTTTAGAAATGTATACCTGATAACAACTAAAATTCTAGCCTTCAAGTTCAATAACACATCTCATAACAACCACCTGTTGGGAATGTCTCAGTTAGAGCTGTACTTAAGATTCCCTGGTCAATGTATTCAAGAACTTCTTTACTCCATAGCTACTCCATAAATAGTGTTCTATTGTACCTAACAATGTATTGGTTTCATAAATTCATATGTGAGATTTCTGTCTTTACATTCTATCTTCTCTATTCTCTTCTCTCTGCAATTTATTTCTGAAGATGTTTTCATGGCATCAGAGATAGAAAATGTAACAGGTTATCTCTCTTCCATTTCTTTTTCTAATTTCTCTTCTTCGTTCCAATTTCTTCATTAATTGTTCATTTCTCTCTCATTATGGATTCAGCTAACTCCACAAATGAAAACTTATCATTCCTAACTCCATCTCCATCAATCCCTCTCTCTCAAATTTCTCATACCAACATCAGAAATCTGGCCGCCATATAGCTTATAATTGAAAGCTACCCTATCTGGAGATCTCAGGTATGCAAACTGTTCAAGGCCAATGGTTTTGAAACATTTCTTGAGGGTACATCTTGTCCATTGCCAGCTTTACCTGATTCAAGTGAAAGTTCTCCAAACAATTCCCATCACATATGGAAGCTCATTGATCAGAATCTTGCACCAGCCATTTATTCAATAATCTCCCAATCTATCTTACCGCGTGTTCTAAACCTTGAATCTACATCTGCTTTATGGATGGATCACACTGTCCAAACGACAGCAATGCCTAAGCATTACATTAGAGAAGTCATATTAGTGGAAGGTCATGATGGGGGCCCAACCAGTTATTTTGGAAAAGAAGACTAGCTCTTTTGCAAGACATAGTATTGGCCCTCTATGCGTCAAGATGTGGACCGCCATTTGCAGAGAGGTGTCATATTTGTCATTTAGCCAAGACAAGAAATCAAAGTCAGGTTTATACATTTTAGAATTTGTGGTTGGTTTACCACACACTCAATGACACTAGGATTCTGTGATGATGGTGGTGGATAGATTCTTCAAGTGGCCCACTTTGTTGGCATCCAAATCCTCATTAGAGTCTCTCACATTGCAATTTGTACTTCAAGGATGTAGTTTGTTTACAAGACAATCCACGTACTATTATTTTAGATCGGCATGTTATATTTTTAAACCAATTTTAGAAGACATTATGGAGTAAATTGGGAACCAAACTTCAATATAGTTCAACTTCCCATCCACAAACTGATGAGCAAACAAAAACTGTGAATAAAAATCTTGGAAATCTACTTCGTTGCTATGTGGGTAAGAATCTTGCACAATGGGATCTTCTATCACAATTGTAGTTTACTTATAACCGGTCCCGTAGCCAAACATCCAAATACAACCATTTTAAGGTGGTTTATGGGAAAAATCCTCTCTCTCCGCTTGATCTTACGTTGGATATTCCAATCAAGGGCATGATCCCGAATATTAAGGCTTGGCTAAAATGAAATCCAAGAGCTCCATAAGTTGGTTCGAGAGAATATCCTTAGACAAAATGAAGTGTATCAGCGACAAACAAACAGAAGTAAAAAAGGCACTAACGTTCAAAGGAAACAAAGTATGGATTCAATTAAGGAAACAACATTTTCCTCCAAAAAACACTTGGGAAGCACAAAGCCAAAGTTGACGTACCTTTCTGGATTGTGAAGTGTATTAATGACATCGCTTACCAAATTGATCTCCCAGACGATTATACTATTTTTACTACATTCAACATCGTCGACTTGACTCCACATTATACATCTGATTATGAAATACAACTAATGAAGAATCCCTGCAAACCTCAAGAGATTGACATCAGAGCTTGGAGATTATTCTAATGTTATTGTGATTGTTTTATTTCAGTCTTTTTTATTTTGTTTCAAATGTTTTTCTATAATTTTATTTATTTGGATGGCAAACTTGTAATAAGGGAGGTTCTTAGCTTATATAGAAGACCTATAGGTTGTTTTGGGAGGCAGCTTTTGAAGAGTTTCTTTTCTTTCCTTGGAGAGTGGTTTGGTGCTCATCTCGTAACCTTAGTTGTTGTATCTTGAGGTGCCTCTAACGTGATGCTTTGGCCATTGTACCTCATCTTCGTCTCAGAAATCTTGACGTGTTTTGTTTCCAATTGTTTTTTGTTCTCTATTTGCTCTTTTCAGTTGGTCCTCACTACAGTTTTTTTTTCCCTATTGTTGTGTAAGTATGGATCCCACAAGGCGTCCTCATCTCGTAATCCTTTCCATTTAATAAAAATTTCATAGTGATCAACATGAAATTGAAAGGATGTATTGTGCATGTCCTTCTGTGGCATCTGAATATATTGATACTGACTTCAAGTCAATCTTAGAGTATACTGCAGTCCCAAAAAACTCTTCAATAACTAATTGATCACCGGGATAGAAAATTTGTCAGGTTCGGCTTCCTCATTTATTGTCTGATAATCCACACGGAAGCGCCAACTCCCATCCTTCTTCAATGGCGAGGTTGTCCTAGAGAAAGAACTCACACTTAGCTATATGATCTCGACCTCCAACTTCTCTTGAACCCATCTCTCGATCTTGTCCTTCTATACATGTGAGTAGTGATATGGTGGTACATGGATTGGAGAAACCAACGATCTAAAGATTATTGCATGCTCAAGTTTGTTCCCCATTCCTTTGCTTGATCCCATAGCTCTCGTTATGCCTATAGCAGCGACGCTGCTCGGATGCCACAATTTCATCAAATTGTCGTATGATCCCAGCCTAAAGAAGCTCACACTAGGTTATATGATCCAAGCCTCCAACATCTCTCGGATCTCGTCCTTTTGTACCTGAGAGTAGTGATATGTGCATACACTGATGAGTGAAAACCCCGATCTCAAGATTATTGCATGCTCGAGTCAGCTTCGAATTTCTTTGCTCAATCCCACGGCTTTCAAACCGCCTAGAACAATGATGTTGCCCTAATGCCGCATAATTTCTTCATGTTGCTTTCGCTCACACCGGCTTTAAACGAGCCACTCAATCCTGTGGTGGACTGAGGCGATCTTGGGTGAAACTCAGCAATCATCTTCATCAATTTTTAAGAGTCGTGAATCTTCCCTCCATGGATGACAACCGGCTTGCCAAAGATGAAAAACACTCGTCCATTTCTAATTTGATGTGACGCCTCTTTTCTCAAATTTCTTCTCCAGACATCTATGTCTTTAGTCGCCGATGCTCCCAAGAAAGTTTTCAATCACAAATGCAGAACATTGTACCTCACAATCCTCTGTTGGTTTCCTAACTAACTCTAATCGCAACTGTATCGAGAGGTTTAGGAGCAAAATTCTTATACATGGGTTCGACACGAAACTCATAAACACCGCGATCGTTTATCGTTAGCTTATTCGCTAGCTCATGACTGTATCGCAAGGTTAAGTCAGCGTTTGTGACAACGACGAAGGCACCTGTAAACTGAGATCCAGTCGGCTAAAAACCTATATCTAATCGCGACTATATCGCGAGGTTACTGTTAGGACAAAAATCCTATACACCGCTATCCCATCGGCTGCCAAGAATTAATAAGCCCCGATCCAATTGGCTAAGAAATAATGAAACCTTGATCTTCTACTACTCAATCGAGATCCTTACTATCACCATCCTAACAACCACGATCCTGACTACCTTGATGTCACAATCTGACGTTGCTTTTCAGAAAGTCAAAGGCTCTGTATGTCGCGATCCCAGCCTTTCCTAACATCTGCATGTCGTGATACCGTCGATGATTTTCGAGAAATCGATTGCTTTGATTACAATTTGGTACAAAAACATGACAAATCTCTATAGAAATTAGGGCAAATAAAATATTTTGTTTCAAGAACACAAAACAACACAACTTAGATACATAAATATAAACATGTACAAGTCGAAATGTATCCATTCTTTTTCAAACCCCAACCCTAACACCTACAATTCGAGAGATAGGCTACCTCTCCTAAACCCTAATCCTAAGATTGAAGACAACAATCTCTTCATAACATAACTTAACACTAAATATATTAAACTCTATTTATACCACACAATAATAATTAATAAATGACGAGATTGTCTTTTTAACCTCGCACCTGAAATAAGCCTTCAAATTATTTGTTGGGCTCTGTGTCGGTGTAACAAATATGCTTAGATGATTTTGGACATAAGTAACAAAATTTTAAAAAATGCACCCTATCATATGGATGGACAATATTAGCACTAGGAGACTAGGGAAGGAAAAAAGGATAAACCTCAAGTAAGATGGATGAAAAGAGATCAAAATAATTTGTTAAGAATAGATTAAAACTTAAAAAAATAAAAAATAAAAAAAAAGAATGAAAAATAAAAATGCATAAAGCCAACACAAATAGTTGGGATAAGGCCAATGTTGCTGATGATAGTGATAAGCTTGCGTACCACCATGTATAAAATGAAGAAGGTAAAAATTCAATAAAACTACATGGCAAATACAATCATGCATAACCATTGAGAAGGCCTTGCAAATGATAAAAATTTTCAACACTAAAAATCCAAAAAATATCAATGTGTCCATGTCATATGAGCAGAAGCCTGAAGCAAAAATTGTTTGCCTTGTCTTATAATAAGCAAATAAGTAGAGAAAATGAGTGAAAACAGATAATGTAATTGAAAAAAAAAATAAGCAACAAAAATTTTTTAACTGTTTACAAAATCCAATCACATTCATTAAAATCAATAAATAAATAAATAAAACTCCTTAAAAATTACTGCTAGAAATTTAAGCAACGTAAATCATAAGCATGAAAAAAAAAAGTAGAAGAGTGCAGACGCCCAAAATTTAATGCAGCACTTTCCTTAAAAGATATATGCAAAAAAAATTCCACTGAATTCAATAATTATATAAATGCATAAAATTCACCCCCTATCACGTAGTCCTGGAATCTAGAACCTTTCATACAAGAGGATATATTACAAGACAAAATCAATATATCTAAGACATGAAGATAGGATATACAGGGCCCTTGATCTTTAAACGTGCTGATACTCAGTAAACCAGGGTCAAGATCAGTTCAAATTTCAGAACAATCTCAAATCTAGACAAGCTTAGCTTGCACAATCCAGCATTGCTTAGAGGCTAGGTTTGATATTTAATGTTAATCACAATTTAAAACCCCTCTGAATTTCGATTGATGTCCATTTTAGTTCAATATATAAGCATGCATCCTTACATATATAGATGCATAAACACATTAAAACAAGTTTAAATGCTTACAAGAATTATACACACACACCTTCATGTAAAATAGTAATAAAGATTTTGATCCAACCCCAAATTTAGCCCAATTCAACAGTGGCTTAACTCAATTCAAGTTTAATTAGAACAAAACATAGTCCCACAATTGTGATATGGTCTGACGTCAAAATCAACATGTTTTTCTACAAAAATTAGTCCAAACACACATATTTTCTTTAATAATCCAAACAACTCAACAAGAATACAAAATATAAGCACCTACAACTCGAGAGGTAGGCGGTCTCTCCCAACTCTTATAATTTGAGAAGTAGGAAATCTCTCCCAAACCCTAAACCTAAGACTCACAATCCAATCTCATGCATAAATCTAACCCTATACATAATAAGCATATTTATACCCAACAATAATAATAATAAGTCTAAATTGCCCTTAGGTGTACAAAAGACATTTGTTTTTTGTCTAGGCGCCAACATAATAATACTCTCCCACCACCAAAAGACATCCTGCCATCAAGGTGGAAAAAAGTGAGCGTTCCTCCTCCCCCACAAATATCTCTACTTCTTTATTCTCTGCCACCTCGTCATGCACTATGAGAACTTGTAATTTCGATCCTTGCAACTGTGTCCTGTGGTAAACTTCTCATCATACTAAAAAAATAACCCATTGGCTTGCTTCTCCCGAATTTGTCTCTATAAGGCGCTTGAATGTTGCTCAGAGTCATGGTCAATTAGTCGTGTCCTGTGCAAACTCCCTCTGGACTTCCACTATTTGAGCTTTTGATGTCGCCATGATTTTAGCAGATTGGTAACATTTGTGTTGCTCCTGCTGGCCTTCTCCATAAATTTTTTGTCCTCTCCCATCTGAGCTAGCTCCATCGTCTCCCTCAATCTCCTCGGTCTCAATAGTCAGACTGGTGTTTGTATGTTGGGCTTTAGGCTCTTCATGAAATTTTCCTCCAATCCTGCTTCAGAAATCCTCCTTAGCCATCCCGCAAAAGCTCAAATCTCTCTTTGTATTCCATGACAGTCCCCTCTTGAGTTAATACAAAGAAATACTTATGTAGGTCTCCTTCCCAACTTGCTTGAAAATGTTCCAAACAATCATTGAATTTCTCCCACGAATGGATCGAGTATCTAGGCTCCCTCCACTGAAACCAGACTAGAGCTTTCCCTTCCAAACATAACCCTGCTGTCATAAGTTTCTCCTCCCCATCTAGCCCATTCACCGCAAAGTATTGTTCCGCCCGATACACCCACTCATGTGTTTTCCCCCTCGAAAATATGCATCTTCAACTTCCTAACTCTAACATCTCCACCCCAGCTTTCTCTCCCTCCGTTGTTTCCCCCATGTATCAAGGGTAAAACTCTCTTTTTCGATCGTAATCATATCCTCTCTCCGCTTCTATCCTTTCTTCTTCGTGCTCCTCCATACCTCTTGCATAATGTATTCATGTTTTGACCCACCCGCCTCTATCAAAAATCTCTAATTCACCCTCAATCGAGCCTTGAGAGGGTGTTCGTGATGGTGGATGTTTTCCTCCTCATGCTCCTCACACTAGATATCTTTTTCTTTCGTTCTTACAACGGATTCTCCAGTCAACATTTGGTTAGGGTTTGCAAATTATGCTATCGGTAGGCCTATTTAGCATTTCTTGCATTTCCTCGATGCTCTCGAATTGGTCATCCGATCGGTTCTCCATATAAGAAAACATGTCCTATATGGTGGCAATTTTTCTTCCATCCTGAATCAGATTTGACTAATCTATTCCTCTAACTTCTTCTCTAAATCTACTTTCTTGGTTGTCATCCTTCTCAATCTTTTTTTTATAACCAAATGACGAAAGCACTGATATGTTGTTGAAAAAAACCAATCAACTGAAAATTCCGAAATTTCAGAGTTGATACTGCTGAAAATAACAGCAATTAGGGCAAACAAATAAATCAACTGAAAGTCACGTTATGTCATGATCTCGTCGATGCTTAACAGCTACAAGAATTGCAACTATATCGCACGAGATATGTCACAATCCCGCTGCCAGCACCTTGCAAGCATTGATTCGTATGATTCATCGCTTTCTTTAGCGTCGAAGCCGTGCGTTACAATTACGGGGAAAAGACTGAAAGGCGCGATCCTTCCCCACACGACGATCCCAAGCAGGAGAGAAAGACGTGATCCCTTGTCCGTCTTGCACACGACTCTATGTGAATCAGTAAGTTGTGATACTTTTGTCGCCTTCCCCAATAGTTATGGCGCATCTGTATCACGACCCCGGATCGCGTGAGGAGACAAATGTCTATCGAGTAGCTCTGATCGCGACTATATCGGGTAGACGACGTGAGAAGAAGAGAAGTCGGCACGAGAGGAAGAGGAAAATGGGAGTTTTGGGTCTCTATACGCCATTTCCCTATTGCAATGCCCAAGACCCGCACCCGATCCTTCGCGTCTTGGTAAATGACAATACTTTGTGTCCCTTGCACGTGATTGTATGCGAATTTCAGGTCTTGGTAAGCCATGATCCTTCACCGCGTAGCAATCCTTGCCCGATAAAATCGACTGCGATGTCATGCTACCTTCGCCGCAAGCTTTTATCATGATTGTAATACGATCCCGAGCACTTTTCCTAAAAATTTTGCTCTTATCCCAATTTGATACAATTAGACGTCAAAATCAACACGATTTTTCACAGAAATTAAATTATTTTCATCAATAATCCAAACAACCCAACAAGAATACAAAAGAAAAGCACCTACAATTCGCGAGAGGTGATTTCTCTGAATTCCCATAATTCGAGAGGAATGAAATCTCTCTCAAACCTAAACCTAAGACTCAAAATACAATCGCATGCATAAATCTAATCCTAGATATAACAAGTTTATTTATACCAAGCAAAAATAGTAATAAAAGCCTGAATTACCCTTAGACATACAAAATACAAAGTTGCCCTTAGGTTAGGCGCTAACGTAACAAGTTGGCTCACTAATTTTATTCGAGCTCGATATAAAACAAAAATCGATTCAATTTTTTTTAGTATTTATTTGTATTTATTTGTATTTTAATCAAATTAACAAGCTTTGCCAGTGATGGAGCCATCCATAGTTCATAAGACAATTAATTTGCAAGAAAACAGGCAGATGGCCAGCAATGAGGGACTCAATGATTCCTCTATGCACGTGTAATGTGCAAAATTAACTTAAAATACAGAGGCCACAATCTAAACATCTTCAACCAAAAATATGGAGAGCAAGGCTGTATGAACTAATCTCACTAGGCCAACTAAAAGTTGAACATTGCATAGATCCTTACTTTCCACAGTAACAACCAGCCTAAACTTCATAGAGCATTTAAAACACAGCGTGATGACTACAAAATATAGTGGATTGGCACAAAGACTTCCTAAGCATGCATCTATGTGCGTATCAAAAATAAACAAGGCATCTCTGCTAGGCTTTTCTCTACCTAAAAATCAGCGTGCAAGCAAGTATAAGATCTATGACACAAATGCCAAGTTCCACACGAAGTAGCAAGAAATTTGTACTAGAAGTTGCAAAAAAGAAAAAGAAAAAACATTACAGTTAAGACATATAACTTTAAAGACAACTAAGGCAACTAGAAACAAGAAAGAAAAGACAACTTCAAGAATATCTACAGAATAGATACACATATGAGCTTCAAGTTTAACAAATTTGGAAGAAGGCTAAACAAAACCTTATTTGAAATTGGACCTCGTGCAAGATGTGGATTTTTGTCACGTAGATGATGGAATCCATAAGCAACTTGAGCATCCATTCCTTCATCATGAAATTAGAAAATTAATTTTCCTGAAATATACACAAAAAAACTCGAAAATACAAAAATGTAAAATTATGACACAAACATGTCATGTTGAATAAGTTAAGCAAAAAAGCTCGAGTAAATAGCATTTTAACACCATTCCTTCATTAATTCTTTGATTTATTACAGTAGCAATGCCTCAGTTTAAGAATAAGGTACTAATCTTGAGAAAAATAATGAATAAATTGCAAAAACAAGAGCATCCAAAACAAAACCAAAGAAAAAAATAAAGTTTAACAAGAGTATCCAATATGTATCTATGTGTGTGTGTGTGTGTGTGTGTGTGTGTGTGTGTGTGTGTGTGTGTGTCTGTGTGTGTGTTTGTATGTGTGTTTGAATGTCAGTGTGTGTATGTATGTCTGTATGTCGGTGTGTGTGTATGGATGTATGTATGTATGTATGTGCATGTTTGTATGCATGTGTGTATATATGCATGTTCCTCCCCTGACAACGATAATTCATGATAATCGCAGGAAGTAATGCAAAACATGGAAATTTCACCTCTGCTATTTAACTATCCACAGTTTCATTTATTGCCAATTTAAGTGGCCTGAAAACAGTTATAAAATGATTTTCATATGATCCCAAAAAAATTCATATTAAATCCTTGATATAGTAAAGCAATAATTTTCCAACTTTTAAAAAATCATTATGAAGAAGTACGAAAAGCTAAAAGGGAGGGAAAAGTACCATGCAATCTGAAAGAATAAAAACAATGAATTTGGAGATAAAAGCATTGACATCAAACGGTAAGGAATTTCAATACATGTATAACGTCAAACAAACAAATATCAGGCGACACATGCTTAAACTAGCAAGTATGAATCAAAGAACAACTTATTAAAATAAAAAACTTCAAGAAAAATGCATTAATGCACCAGAGAAATCCCAAGTTTAGACTTACCAATACTAAAATAGTTATAGAAGACCCCTTCAAAGCATGAAACCCTTTCCGGAAAATTACCACCAATATCAAACTCCTGTGAAAAATATTCACATCAGAAAAAACATAAGGAAGAACTAAGAAATAAAATTAAATAAGTGCAAATAATAGGAACCACAAGTACTATGATATTACAGAAGTTTGCAAACTGAAAGAAAAATTTCAATAAATCAAAATGAGAAAGGTAAACGAAAATGATCAGCCTAGAGTCTAAATATTGTAGGGCAGCAATAATCTGACGCGGGTTAGAACAAGAACCCTTGTCTGAAAGAAAAGAATGAAGACTAAAACTACTTTCACAACCTGACTGAAGTTGGGTTGCTCTCTATGCTTAAGAGAGTGAGGCAATTCTATTTTTTCTGCTTCAGGCATTGTGACTGTAACATGCCAACTGCAAGAAAAAAATATGACAACCATCAATTCATGCAAAAAAAACAACTAGAAAATACTCATGTAATCAAAATGTTGGATTTACAGGCATGTTTCACACTTCTTTCACACCCCCCCCCCCCCACCACCCTCCCCCCCCAACAACAAAGCCACTGTCATCTCTAATTAATTTGCTCCCAAAACAGTATAAGCATACATATATATGATATAAAACAAAAGAGAAACATACAAAAACCTCAAGAAAATTTAACATGAACTTTTAACAGAAGATACTGCATATGGTTTCAAAACAAACCTAAACTAGCCTGTTTTTTGCACTTAAATGTACCAAATAGCAAATGCTATACAGCACTGCAGGAGAAAGCTTCATAATGTAAATATTGTGACGCACATTAACACTTCCCATTTTCATTACAATCAATTTGAATGGTACGACATGAGTATATTGATTTATGCCATGCCACTAGCTATTAGTGACACTACTAATCGTCCAAAATAAGTGCAAAGAAATAACATGTCAAAAAATAACGCTTTGTAAAGGAATTTTGGACAAGAAGCTGGATAGTATTATCATAATACGAAGACTACACTGACAAGAAGTAATAGAAGACAAATGTCACCTATCCAAACGGCAAACAGGACCGTTGGTTGCCTTAAGAAGCGCACGTTTTACAGCAGATCTCCAGGCGAATGGAAATGCGCCGCCCTGCATTGAAATAACAAAAATTTAGATAACAACACCATTGCCGGAAACCGTTGAACTTCTTGTAAAGCAGCGCCTTACCCAACCAAAGCTCCTAGAAAGATCGTTTCCCGTACCAAGCGGAATAATAGCTGTCGGAGGAACTGGCTCTCTGTTTTGAGCATGAAGCTCTCCGAGACATCCTAATACCCAACCTACTGTACCGTCACCTCCGGCGACCTGCCAAGCAAAGTGCACACAGTTTTAGCAAAAAAAAATACTATTGATGCTTTACTAAACCATTTTTTTCACACGATGTCCATTATTATAGATCAAAACAGCATACCATAACCCTCAACCGCTCTCGAGTGACTTTAGCAACTACATCACCAGATTCCGCCAACCTCTCCAGGCACAGCAACAAGTAATGCACGAAATCCGAGGGTTTTACTTCAGATAGATCAAAAACCTGCAGCGCAAACTTCAGTCTGTAAACAACCTCAAAACTAAAAACAAAAGAGGGATCATATGCAGGAAACATATAAACAATCACTGAGACCCTGCTTTTCCTCTTCAAAATAAGAGGGGAAAAACTGAAAACCGCTAAAACAACTGAATAGTACAAAAACCCAGATCAAAGTTTCAAACCCAATCAGGATGTAAAACCAAAAATAAAATAAAATACATCCAATCGTGGATGCGATCCCAAAAAATCCGCATACTCCTCCACACAGGCCATATCGGAAAACCAAACTCCTTTTCAAACCAGAGAAAGCGAAAAAGAAATTCAACCTGGTTTTCTCCCATGAGCTCCTGCAGCCTAGCCATGAGTTCCGGCCCATGTCGCCCCCCACTTCGCGAGTTCACAAAGACCACCACAGGCGCCTCCGGCGGCTCCACCACCCCCCTCTGAGCAGCCGCATCGGCATACTTCCTTGCCGCAACACCCGGCTCCCTAAACTTGATAGCTTCCCGCATCGACGCCGCCAGGTCCGCTGGGATCAAGATCCTCCTCCTCAGCTCTTCCTTATCCACCCGCGTCCCCGCTGCCGCCCCTCCTAAACCCTTCAATGCATCCAGTATCGAAGACCTCGTCGCCACTCTCGTCTCCACCATCTCTGCTGGCGCTGTCCTCTCCCCCATCTCTCTCTCTCTCTCTCTCTCTCTCTCTCTCTGTGCGTATTCTTTGCTCTGCTTCTCGGCTTCGCAGTGAGATGGAAACCGGAACGAAGCGGTTGTGGGAAAGGAAAGATGAAGTGGAAGGTAAAGATTGTGTGCCTTGAATTAAATGACGAAACTGCCACTATATACATAAATTTAAATTTTTATCGTGGCGTACAGGGAAGGGGCATAATCGGTAATTTTGCATCTTCTCGGATCAATAACTCTGCGGTCAATTCATGTTTAATTCAATTACTAGAAAATATTTTTAGATCAAATTCCGACCTAAATTTTCTCCATTTGGAGGCGGATATTTCGCCCATCGACTAACTGGAAAAGTGATGCAATCCGTTGCCGCGAAGCACAGAACAGCAAACAGCGAATGTTTTTCATATGAATATTTTTTTATTTTTATTTTTTATTTGGAAAATGACTTGAATTTTCGTTAAAAGATAAGTGCCGTGTGGAAACTCAAAAATAATAATAATAATAATAATTTGACGTTCACGGTAGTACAGACAAATAAATTACGCATATTTAATGGGAAATTTACTTTCGTTGCCCACAATTCTTATGTATTTACATATATTATAACCACTTTTATATTTATATACATAGCTTTGGAGCTTGACGGTGGTTTTTTTTTCCATTAAATAGAAGTTTTCATAATATAATTATGCTAAATAACCCTCTTAGATATGACTCATATATCATAAATGGACAGTCCTAAATCAGGAGCGGAGCAGAGCGGAAGATTCTGTCCAAATCAGGGGAGTTTTCTTTTGTGGGTTGGGGTTGTGGTACAGAGGTAATTTGATAATTACATATTGTACCCAATATTTCTTTTTATGTTCTTTGTAGAGTTATAAATATGTTTGTATGTAACCCTAGCTATTACAACTCATATTTTGTATTCTGTATTTTACTGGATAAGTGAGAAGGCCCCGAGGACGTAGACATCTTTGTCGAATTCTCGTTAAATCTCTGTGTATTCCTCTGGATTTGTGTCGTTATTGTTTTTCTTCGCCCTAATTTCTCAACAAACCCTTATGTTTTTTAATATTTGCATATACACCACTCCAAATATTGATATTTATAAATTACTGGTGGGTGATTTTTGAGAACTACTAAACCGATATATTCACGGGGGCCACAATTAAATTTTTTAAATTTATTAAAAATAAAAAATTTGAGTAGGAGTTTTAATATTTGAGCGAGAATTTAAAAATGGATAAAAGAAGATGATTGATTTGTGAATAGCAAATTTTAGGAGGTCCGAGTGTAATTACCTTTATTTTCTCTTGCTATAAACCACTACTGCAAATTCGTTGTAAATTGAGTTTTGCTAAATATATGAGGTTTAGAAATTAAATTTTAATCTCAAAATCTTCTTTATATTGTTAGAAAAGTTAATATTAAAAAAAAAAACTCGCAATTTTTACACTCGAGCACAAAAACTATAACAATGTCGCTTTCTTTTTATCTTTGAAGAATATAGATAATTACAAAAATGCTCATGTGGGATTTACAAAGGTGAAAACTCAGGCACACAACTAGGTGTGTAAACGAGCCGAACACAAGCTAAGCTCAGCTCGTGTTCGGCTCGTTTATATTTCGAACTCAAAAGTGTGGTCGTGTTCGGCTCGTTTGCTTAGCTAGTCGAACACGAGCTGTTCACGAACAAAGAGTCTTTTTAACAACCATAATCATGTAGCCATAAGACAATAAGGATTTTATGATTGAGATAAAATTTAAAATATCATTTGAATCTAATTTAAAATTTTTATTCTATTTTCTTCATAAATATTTTTAATTGATTATAAATCTCTGTAGCTTTGTAGTCAATTAAACTTTTTAAAATTACTACTCATCATAGAGATATATATGTTCCTATTGTTTGTATTCGACTGTTAACCTAGCGAACGAGCCAAACACAAGCTTCTTAACGAGTCGAACACGAGTTGTTCGCAAACAACGAGCCGTCTTGAGAGCCCTACGCACAACGAGACAAGCATCTCAACTTTAAATAACACCAAAACAATCTTCATGTTACAAAACTTTTAGGGGCATTTACATAAGCTTTTAATATATTTATATATCTAACACTTAAACTTCAACTTTTACACATACAACTTATTATCTATACTTGAAAATATATATTTTACATTTTAAAATTTTTTAAAAAGATGCCTTATTGATCTGATAGAAATTTTGAATGATATAAATATGAAAACTAAAGTTTAGGGGTTGAATATATAAGAACATAAAAATTTAGTCATTTTTCTATAAATCTTAAATCTTACATTTTTTATTGACTCCTTTATTATTATAAAAAATTTAGAAATGATATTTTAATTCAAATATATCTTCTCAAATGCTCAGCTTATATAACGGTAAAATATAGATTTTTTGCGCTCGGATTGTGGCACGTGCCCCATTGTGTAATTTTATGATTTAATTAATATGATCATTGGCACAATTAATTTGCATAATTATGTAACGAACCTTCTAATCACGGCAGCAAAAAGCATACATGTTGTGATAATTTTGACCGAAGATCATTGTGATCAAATAGGTTGACAATTTAAGAGAGAGTTTTCAAAGGCTCTAGAAGTCACAAAAATTTTCGTACCGCTTTTATGATTTTGTAACTATCAACATTTCAAATTATACAGGGTTTTAAATTATTAATTCAAAATTTTCATTAAAACCTTGATTGAAGTGATGCATAGTGCAGTCAGTATTGTCGTCTGTTTGAGGCAGCTGTAACTTACTAAAAAAAACAATTGTATAGTTGCTGAATTTAATAATCATATGTTCAAAAGACTGCGGTGGCTATTACAATTTTTAAATTTTTTTTAAATCAAACCACAGCTAGAAAGCTAACGCTGCGCCTAGTCAAGAGTGGTGAGAAAACGCAGATTTCAGCGCCAGTTTTTTATCAGACTGTCAAAATGTAGTTTACTCAAACAAACAAAACTGTGATCGGTGCCGCACCTCCACCGCACCGCCGCCCCAAACAGACTATTAATTTATACGCTGAATATATCCATTTTCTTAATATTAGTAAATCATAGTTGATTATTAATATCAATTAGTTGTGTGTAGAAATGTAAGTGAGCTAAGGAAATTTGTGAGACGTGGCACGATTGGCTCGATAAGTGCCTCATGTACCAAGCTCGATGAGCTAAAAAGTCATGTTCCAACCAGCCCGGCTCGACTCGTTATCACGTGAGTCGATTCGTCTAAAAATATATGTATTAATATAAAATATAATCAAAATATATTAATATTATGTCTCTCTTTTATAATAAACAAATTGAATTGTGAGCTGGCTTGAATTTTTAAACTTAAGCTTGAGCTCAAATTTGATTAATTAATAAAGTTGAAGCTGAATATCTCGCCAAGAGTGGCTCGAGATCGACTTGCCTTGTTTGCACCCTAGTTGAAAGCTTCAAAGCAACTATTTTTATTATTATTATTTATTTATATTTTCACTTATTGAATATGTATACAACACAATAGTCAGCACAAATTTCAAAGTATTTGAACAACCCAGACAACCAAGACATCATGTCGCCCTATTGCCAACCGCATGGTCAAGAATCGATTGATACACTATGGTGAGAGGTTCGAACGAGAGTCCCAACTGACTGTTGCGAAGGCGAGAATCATTGATCACGATTAATCGGTCGACCCACTTTTACCATGGAGGATGAGATCGACACTTAACTAGGCGCATTGATCGGCCGACCCATGGCATGGCCGCCACTCAGCTGGTCGTCTCAGTCGGCTGAATACAAGTAAGTCAACTGGCCAAGTTACCGGCATATTAAGATTCAAATTGCAATACCCATATAGTTTGAAATTCATATGATTAATAAAAAGCATCAATTATGTTAAAAGTGGCTTTCATAATTGCTCTGTCATTTCTTTAATTGTACAAAATATACATCTATATATAAGAGACAAAATATGAACAAAAAAACATTTGGCCAATTCTTTATACAGGAAACTTCTAACTTGTTATACTCTCTTTCTTTCTTCCTTCATTCACTCAAACTTAAACTCTCGGGGTGTATTCACAAAGGACAATTTATGATCAAACAACCTAAAAGGTAGTGAATGAGCGTGGATATGTCACATAAGAGAAATGAAAAAGATTATGAAGGTGAAAGTTCCCATAGAGAGATAGCACGCATGAAACCCAATAGTGATGTTACATAACCATACATCCATGCACAACTCTAGGGATTTCAAGCTCAAATGACCCTTATGCTGAAGCAATTCGAGATCCTCCGGGCAGCAATCCACCATAGGAACGACCAGGCACCTCGTCTGGAAGCAGAACCTCTTGGGGCCCGTACCCAAAGGCCCCACCGGGGAACCCGTCTATTCCAGACAACTAGGTCAACAACCAACTGACAGAGGGGCAAGGCAAGTCCCAACACACCAACATATATGCTTCTATGCAAGCAAACAAGTGATGAGAATAGAGGATGCGAGTGCTTTTCTGATCGCTCGTAGAAGTGTCTTTTATGCTCCATATTAAAGAAGCAGTACTGACGCCCAAGCTAAGGTTCTTTCTCATGGATTCTTACAAGGAAAAACCCGACTCAATTGACCACATAGAGGTTAGAATCATCTGTCGGTCTTCTCCAGATAGACAATCCTATAATGTGTTGTCTCTTAACCACCCTAAAGAAGTTGACCCTTTAATGGTTCAACGGTCTGTCGAATAAAACCATCTAAAGTTACTACAGGTTGAAGATACTCTTTGTTTCACACTTTTCAACCGTGCATAAACAAAGGAAATTCTCAGACACCCTGCTCGACCTCAAGCAGAGATAAAACGAGAGCCTACGAGCCCACACCACTTGCTTCAGTACAATATGCTTGTAGTTGTAGATCTAAAGCCTGATATAGCTGGAACAGCCTTAAAATAAGGAATCTGAAGTGAACGGTTCTTGTATGACCTAAAATTATTTAAACATGCTACTATTGCAGTAGTATTGGAGATGTCAAACGAGCACATACTCTCCGAGGAAGATCTTTGGGACTCTCCGAAGGGTATGCTGGACTCATCCGAC